TTTTTTTTTTTTGGCCTCTTTTTTTTTTTGGTGTTTTTTTTTTTTTTTTTTTTTTTTTTTTTTTTTTTTGCTTTTGCTCTAATTCTGCAGCTGAAATGATATTTATTTATGCGTGATTGCAGTCGTCCGTGGCTCAGCTGGAGGAGCAGCTCGCTGATTGTGAGTCGGCGCTCGTTGAAGAGAAGACCATCTCACTAGAAAAGAAACATGAAGCGGAACAATGCCACTTTCAGGTCTGTGTTCTTTAGGCTCAGAAGGGAGGTTACCTTTGGTTTATATTTAGGATGATGATATTCATGTTTGATCGGCCACTTCACAGCTTGGGTTCAAGTCAAACTTATAGAATATGTCAGAGGTTTTTTGCCTCTTTTTTTTTTTTTTTTTATTTTTTTTAAAATGAGCACAAGGTTTTTGTTTTTTTATTTCAGTGGGGTTTATTGATGATTACAAACTATAATTTAAATAATCTGTTTGATTTTGGATCGCTCAGTCCAGATTTGATATAATCATTTACATTTTAACTTCCAAAATGGTAAGATAGCCCTTCACCACACTGCTGAATCAGTAACCAGCTTCAGTCCTGTGTTGTTTGGTCATTTGTGAAAATAAAATGCTAATAAAACCCAACTAACTGAATGTTTTGTACTCAAATATCCATGAAGCAATAAACTGACAATGTGAAAATGTGGCCATATTATAGGAACTCTGTTATATCAAAGATTCAACTGTTTTTTTCCTCTGTCTAGGTTGCAGAACTCAAAGCTGAGATCGACAGTCTTCAAATAAAATACGCAAATCTGTTGAGGGAAACAAGAACGACACAAGACGTGAAAGAAACAGCAGTTGAGAAGGTATTCCCACCTCCACATTTTAATCCCGTTTAGCAATTAATGACTAACGGTTGATTGAAGCAGAAATTCTCACATAACTCTTATACTTTTTCTAATATAAACAACTCTACATCTCTCTCCTTTTTGCTTTTTTTAAATTGCCTTTCACTATGCTGTTAGACCTCTTCTGCAAAACCCTCAAATAGTTTGTTTTAACAACCTAACGCAGTGTAAATCTTCTCAGTCCAAGTAGCACGGATGGGGAGCTTTGCAAACTTAAAAGTGTCTCTATGCCTGTGCCTGTTCCCTGCACTGGACCCACCCTGGAGCCTAGGTGAGGCAGGAGCTGCAGGGACGCATAGAGGAGCTGAGAGTTTACCCTGAGTTACTGGGTGAAGCCGAGCAGAGTCTCCTCCAATGCCAGGAGAACCTGCGCAGGTTGGAGAGGCAGTGTTCGGAAAAATCAGAGTCCGTTAAGGAACTGCAGTTTAAGGTGTGCAACGCCAGCTGTTGTCATCAGACATAACATGTAAAACTCATTTACATATATCTTGCCACTAGGTGGTAGTACAACCCCCCCGTGTCTCTATTGTGCTTCCTTATCACGATGATTTTTATGGTTGCAACCAACAAAAAAAAAAAAAAAACCTGTTTGTGGTGTAGAAAATGCACCGCCGTGTATATTTTGATGTGTTTGTTGCTGTGTGAGTTCTCCATCACTTACATTGTGTCTCCCACATAATGTATTTGCTAAATAATTATTTTCCACTTTTGAACGGTTTCACTTCATCCAAACAATGCACCTGTGAATTACACAATTTCTGTTTGCAGATGGAGACTCAAAGTAAACAGCTGAGATCATCTCTGGAGATGAAAGAGTCTGTTCATGAGGCCACTTTGAAGTTACAAGAAAAAGTGAATTCTCTCCAAAGGCAAGAAGACACACAGAACCAACCTTTGCTTAACTGACAAGTCCACAGATGCATGTTTCTATCAGCTTTGTACATCTAGTGGCAGAAATGTTTGGCTGTTCATCTTTGACAAACAACTTAAGCTCAGTAAGATTGAATGGGGGAGTCTGTGTTTGTGCTTTTATTTTGAGTCTTACCACAAATTAGTTTTTTTTTAAATTATTTTTTTATTTGATTTGGGCCTTTGCAGCAAACAAATAAGCTTTGGTATTAACCATTAGTGTCAAACTCCAGTCCTCGAGTGCAGTTACCGATTTTAAATGTGCCCCCACTCCAGTGTAGCTAAATTACTCCAGTGTAATTTAGTTACGTTGTAGCTAAATTATCCCACTAATGAACACATAATTTGATTTAGGTGTGTTGAAGCAGCGTCTAAAGGCTGCAGGACACAAGGCCTTGAGTTCTGGAGTTTGACCCTGGCAGTTTGGAGTAGACAAAAATACCTTTCCTCTTCAGAAAAATCGATCAGGTGCAGCAGGAGAACCTGGAGCTGGTCCGGAAGCTGGCGGCTCAGGACGAGGCCCTTGGCTACAGCAACCGGCAGCTGGATCAGCGCTCCTCAGAGTGTCAGGCTCTGAATCGGCAGCTGGAAGCTGCTTTGTCGGATGTCAGAGAGCAGGTGAGCCTCAACAGTTATGAAAAACAAAGAGATTTTTGCTCAGATTAAAAGGAACAGTTAGCTTAAACCAACATTGGTGAGTTACTCATTGCTTTGTCCCAGGTGAGTAAAGTAAAAAGCCAGACTTCCTCCAGAGAAGAGGCTCTGCAGACGAAGATCCTGCAGCTTCAGGCTGAGCAGAGCAGAAGGAATAATGAGCTGAAGCTTCTTCGTGAGAGCAAGCAAAATGTGAGCAACGCATTTCTAAGACGTTCTCCTCTTTTATGCCAGCAAATTATGCAATGTCTGATAGTTGAGCTGATGTCCAAATAAACTACTGCTTGTCTGCCATCGATCTTCAGGCGGAGAAACAGTTTGAGGTGCGTCTGAAGAACCTGCAGCTCAGTCTGGACCAATCGGAGACCCACAAACGCAGCATTCAGAATTACGTTGATTTCCTCAAAAAATCTTACATGACAATTTTTGATGAAGGGCTACAAACATCAGCTTTTGGATCATCGTATTTCCTAAAATGATGGTTTGCATTTTGTGTGTGTGCACACTGTAATATTTATATCAAGTGAGAGTCAAGATGAAGAAATTTTATTGAGAGACAATAACTGCTGCATATGGTGATAATGGTGATAACCCCAGATTTATAGAGGTTTTGATAGCTGTTTTAAGCTCAGGTCCACAGAGAGGCTGTTTCATATTTTGTTAAATGGATTCACTCTGTAAAGGTGCTACATTTTTCAACATTGTTAAAATGGTGCAGCAGAGAAAAATGATCATCTGTGCGCTCTGGTGGTGTTGTTGATTTTTCTACTCTCTTAAGAGAAAATTGCTGAAAACCAAAAACATCTAAGTTAATCTGGAAACTAGAATGATGAATGGTAATTTGTTTTATCCAAAAATTTACTTCCGATTATTAATATTTCTACAATGTAAAATTTGAGCAATAATGCCTAACTGTCAATTTTCCTTCTATGCTATTGGCTACAGCAGTATGACTCTTTATTTTAATAATTTAAGACATTGCTAAACTCTTCAAGCACATTTTTGTGGCTTTAAGGATGTGGTTTGTGTTTTCTGTGGACTCTGAATGTTAAGTCTTTGTTTCAAAGAGTTGAGAGGTCAGAACCTCAAACATTTTACTGAGGATAATTAAGCCCTGGGGCTGGTGGAGGGGATTTAGAAAACTAAGACTCGCTGTTTGTTGATGACAGGAAGCTGCCTGAAAATACAGGGTGTTGCACAGAGAAGGCTTCCACTTCCTGTGTTTAGCACATTGTCTGGGTGTAGTTGATTTGAATTCCTGAAAATCATCATTCCTTTTTAAGGTTGCATCTTCAGATTGAGCAGATGGTTTAAAGGTCAAGGGACAGATGGATTTCTGTTTCTAAGCTCTTTAGTCTAGCCAGTAGCCAGTTGGTTAATGACTTCTGTTTTCTTTGCACACACGATTGGTTCTCAGTCTTGAGCTTGCATCATGTCAATTATGTAAATCAATTGTCAAAACTGATTAACTTAGGCTTCCCACGTGTTGGACATTATTTTATTTTTATTTTGTCTTTGGTGAATGTTATATGGATTGTTTTTTGTTTTGTTTTTTTTAACTGGAAACATGTTCCTTAATTTACCTCTTGTCTTGTTGGAGATCTCTGGCCTGCACGGACTCATTACCATGTAGTGTTATCTCTCTGTGGTCTCAACTTTATACACAAAAAATGAAAACTCAGGAAAACTGAAATTTGGTAAACAATCTAAAGAAAACCATGTTGATCCTCTAGATGAAGTTGTACAATGAAATTTCTTCTAAGTGCAGCTTATAAACATGAAAACACAAGAGACTTACATTTGCACTAGAGATTTGCCTACTTTAAACACTCGTAATGCATTATCATAAAGTTATCAGATTGAACCAGTTCTGGTCTTTTAGTCCCTTTTTTAGGTTGCAGTTTTGCAAACAGATATGTTCTGTTTATTTTTTTTTTGTATGCAACATTTAAGTCGTAGGGGAATGTACCAAAACATCAGTGGTGGTTGGGATATTTTTGATCTTCATAAATCTGCTCTTCCAATGACTCAAAAACAAAAAGGTATGTTTTTGCAGTGATTTGTGAGAAGAAGTGGTGCGTATTTTCCTTCTTTCTCAGCTGGTATGAGATTGTGAGGCTGTAAATTAATTTAGTTGTGAAGATGTTGTTGCTGGTTTGCAAACACAATTACTGAAAATGTTGGGACATTTCCCAAACTCATCTTGTAATGACGGTGGATTACTGTGGCTAGTTTTTCTGGATTTAAATAAAAACAATACTCTTTTTTTGTATCCTTTACCGTCACTGTTATCCGTCATAATCTCTAAAACCTCATAAACTATTGTTTACTAGATCTCTGTGTTCTTGCAATGACCTTTTAAAATAAGACCTCATTAAGAGTCAGAGGAAAAATGCACTTGTGGTTTTGTGTTCGATGCATTTGGTTTCTTATATTTTGAGAAATGGCATCACTCTTGTAAACAGCCTTGTAAACTGGTGTGATTGTCAGTTTTAGAATAATGTCACATTAAATAAATGAAAAGAAGCCTTTGGTATTGTGTTGGTATCATACTATTTTACTTGCTGGACTGGCCAACGTGTCATGTTTTGGTTTGTCAATGACAGAAACTTAAGCATCAAATTGATGTTTAAAGAATTATAAGTGACGAGTTCAGAGAAAAAGACCCAAACTTTCACAACATGAAAGGTTTCACAATGAAGCAAAGCACAATTCTCCAATGCCACAAAGATAATTCCAGAATAATAGTTTTTATTTGAATTGCTCTCAGATTCACAGTTAGAGTTTCTGAATCGTATTAAAACGTCCATAGAGGGTGAGCAACTTTTTACTGCTCTTGGCGAAGTTCAAATCACACAGGCAAGATCCAGTCATCGCTACCTTCTTCCTAAAAGTCTGTCCAGACTTGCATTTGAAACGGACAGATGGCGTCCGGGTCCTGTGAGGCCGACAGAATCGGCCGTCTGAGCAGGACCTGCAGAGTTTCAGCTGGAATGTCTTCAGACTATGACAACCACCATAGGGCATCTGAATTGGATTGACAGCCTTCCCCTGACATTTCCCAGCTCCCTGTGGAACAAAATTTAAAAACCTTGACTTTAGATGTTGAACAAAGTTGTGGAAAACCTTCTCCAAATTCTTTTGCAGAAGTAAATCTGAATTTTATGTACAACCGACATTGCAGGACATTTGCAAGAGTACCTTTTGGGGGATTTCCTTGCAGGGTTGGATCTCACAGATCTGGGTTTCAGTCGCCAGTTTGCACTCGATATTTTTGTTGGTCATCCTGGAGGAAACTCCACGACCACAGGATTTGGAGCAGGGTGACCAGGCTGTGGTCTGAGGCCGACACTGGACTCCTGTTTGAAGCCTCTTTGGACGACTCCTAAAAGCTAAAATTAACCATTTAAGTTAAATGGGTCCCATTCTGTTTTAACAGTGTCAAAAACAGAACAGTACTCACCTGTTAATTCTCCTTCCCAAACATGTGGAGGATGGTTCTTGTTAGAAAAGGCACCATCAGATGGGTCTTGTTTGTACTTTCGTCTGCGTTTCCTTGACCCAGACCTTCCTGTGTTTGCATCATAGAGGCAGATGAGTTGTTCACAGCACTGTCCTTTCACTTTAACCCTCTTCGGTTTTTCACAGCCCACTCGGTACGTCGAAAGGTCACGAGTGCAAAGCGAGACGCACCCAACCGATCCATCCATGCAGGTGCACTGATATTTGCAGTTTGGCTTGAAGGTTTCCCCATTCTGGAACATCCTGCCGTTGAACTCGCAGCTTCTCCCATCTGATTTAGCTATTGAGAAGAAATGGGAAAGGTTAGGTGCTGGGGAGAGGGAATACTTAAATTAGACCAAGAGAGGAGCAGAAGCCAGCGTGCCTCGACAGATGCCTGGTGCTAAATCAGATTTGCCCCCAAAATTGCACTCCAGCCCCTTTGCAGTGTCGCACGGTTGAGTTTTGCTGCAGTCGTCATAGAGCTGCCGTCCACAGACCTTGCAGCAGCCGCAGCTGTCCAGCATTAGACTCACCCCTGCTGCACAAACAGGGACGTCAGGAGGACACTGGCAGGCTTCTGGGCATGAGGCTGACACCTGAGGTGAAAGACTTCATCACTTTCCTAACAAAAAGTCAATTATTAAAAATAACCAATCAAACATCATGTATGAAGAAACAGCTACTTCCTCACCAGAGTAAAGCAGAAGGTCACAGCTACAAAGATCTTCCACATCTTCCCAAACTAACTCTCCTGATCAGAATTGGCTAAAGCTGCCAGTGAGCTCTTCCTTTTAGACTCGATCCCCTTTTATCAAGCAGATCTGACGTATGTAAAAGCAGGAGAGGTGTTCCAAAACTATGAGAGGAATGCTTCGCTCCCTGCCCTGCCATGAGCCCGGCAGCAGGAGGTTTCACCCTCCCTTTGAAAGAGGGGTTCCTAGAAAACCGCTCCCTTTAGCTCTGTTTCAGTTTGATGGAAGTCTGGATGGTATGTCTTTTCTCACAGAACAGAAAAAAATAGATAATTTTACTATTCACTTTTCAGTTTATAGCTGGAATAAATTATATTGCAGTAATCCCTTTTGGCTGATATTTCTGTTTTCAGTTGTGCATTTTTTTCAAGAAACTTTTGTTAGTTTCACAACTTTATTTTTATTTTTATTTTTTTTATTTATTTTTTATTTTTTTTGTCAGCTTTACGCTACAGGGATTTTGTTTTACTTGACAAAATGTTACAATAAACTGATAAATATGTTCCAATAGTGATATGTTAAAATCAATGCTCCTGATTATTTTAGACAAATAACTGAAAAATACTTTCTAATACAAACATACATGTAGGTTTATGATGGATGGAATGACTTGCAGAAGTATTCAGACAACTTGAACTTTTCCACATTTTCTCACAAATTCCACTTTATTTGAAATTAAGCCAGATTAGGTGGGCAGGGATGTATTGTTGGGTTTATGCTTGTGACTTTCCTAAAGCCTGATGCTGCCATTACTATGTTTCACCATGAGGATAGTAATTTCATTGCAAGGTGTAGTGAGACTTCTAATGGCTATATTATTACAAAGGCTTTCTTTTCATTGCATTCTTCCATGAACACCAGACTTGTGGACGTAGTTTTTTTCGTCGACAAGGGAACTCTGGTGGAACCAGAGACGGCACAGCCCTTGATTTTATCAGATGAAGTGCATCTATTAAAATCTGATTTAACCTGATTTTCATTTGTGGTTGTCATTTTTTTCGTTGACAGTTTTCCTGTGACCATTTAAAACTTTAAAAAGTGATACGCTAATGTGAATTCACGGTCGTAGCCACATGTTACAAAGTCTTTCACATGTAACTTGCAATTTGAGGTGATTAGAATGGGGCTTACCTGCGGGGTTGTCTTGTGGTTGTTGCAGATTACTTGCAGCAAGAAGCTTTCTGATTACCTCAGCTGTGGTAATACATTAACCGAAGCACTGTGTGTTGTGTGTGCATGTGTGTGTAGGTGCGTGCGCATCTTCACATTTCCTGTGCAGCACTCTCATTTTTGGTTAGACATTGCTGTAATTATGACTATCTCTTATCTGTTCTTGATCTGCTGCACTCTATGAAGTTATCCATACCGACACATGAAATATTCCATTAGTCCACACATGGCCTCAACATCAGGGCACTACAAGTTCTGACAAGAATATCGAAGGGAAGCTACATTCTTTTATGAGCAACTGAATCTTTCTCTTGGCCGAGGAATTGGCTGAATTTTGACTGCTTGAAGAAGAGTGCAATGGGTCTTCGCATGCCAGTGTTAAAAGTGAAGGGTGGAATGCCAATTAGTCAGCCTTCAAGGTGTGGGGCGGGCGCATTAACATTTGTGTCGGTGTTTGACTTTCAAATTTAGCTTTCTGGAGTGACTGAAGCAAAGGAATTATTTATACATTTAAGGGAGGACACCCAGCCCAATAAAATCAGAAAGGATCCCTGAAGCACTACACTTTTCAGAATGAACATTGCAAAGTCTCTTTGAAGCAGCAACACAAGAAGCATCCTGCTTCATCCACATCAAACAACAGACAATCAAGATGGAAAATGTGTGTTTTCATTTATTGGAAAGTCTGAGAACAAAAGGCTGAGGAGAGCAGACTGGCACTGTCTCGTTCTTATCTAAGTGAGGTTGCAAAAGGCCTTTTTGAGTCAGTGCCAGCACATAAAGAGCAAACAAGTGAGAGCTTGGTGCAGTTGATCATGGTGGCAATTTGCTCACTGTTGTGGTTTTTGCAAGGGGGAATTTTCCTGCCAAAGATGTGATCTAAAGAATGTGCAGAACCATCTTAGCTGAAAGGAACATTGGATACATGATAGGCAGCTGGAGAATCTGAAAAGACCTGAGATGTCTCCTTCCAACAGAGAAGCGTGTGACCATGCCAAGCCTAAGACAATGAGCCAATTAACAAACATATCTGGAAAAGTACAGCTGAGGATATTATGTTTCAGCTCATTAGAAGATAACTACTTTTGCCAAAAGCAGTCAGCAGCCCGTGGCACTGTTAAAACATGAGATGATGATAGCAGGATTTACTGAGCTCAGATTGAAAGACAGAAATTCAAAAAACGTAAATTGTGATTTTTTTTACGCATGGAGTCACTCATCACATTTGCTCAAATCACAATTCATAGAGGTGTCAATGATGTTTTCGTTTAGCTACTAACGTGCAACAAACAGAGGAAAATGTGTGCTACTTGTTTTTTATGAGGTTTAGAATCCAAGGTGAAATTAAAAAAAAAATGCATGATTATCTCAGTTAGCACATGAAACCCTCTCAACATGTATCTCGGTTTTACCAGCCACCAAAAACAAAGAAATATTTGTATTGATGCATTTATGTAGGAAAAATATGGACGTTTTCAGTTTTGATAGTTTTTTTGTTTTTTTTTTCTGTTGATCAACTACAGATTACTGGTTGGAGCTCATCAAAGAAAAACTGGACAATGCCAGTCAATGACATTGTCTTACTAAAACACTGCAAAGGCAAATTCTTGCAAACCAGATTCATTCACATAGAACAGCCATTGTCATTTCAAAATTACTCAAACAGACCCCCCAGTCACCTGATTGCAAACGTAGCCTCATGTAGGGAAGTTGTTTGGCAGAGAAAACGACAGCCAGTATTTAAACTGTTTCTTGCAAATGTGTGGATGTTTAATATCCACCACTACTCTGCTGTATCCCCTGGATATGAACCTTTTCATTTAGAAATAGATCATAAAATAATTTAATTGCTCTAAGAGAGCAAGAAAGAAAAAAATATTTATTTATTCTATCTGACACCAGCCAATAAACTATTACTGCATTAATGGCTTGTTTTGAAGACTAATGTGCTGTAATTATACCAATAGTCTTGAATAAGAACTTTATGAACTCCTGGAGAGAGATAGGATGGCGAAGTACAGCTTCAGGGAGGTAAGTTATGTAGTGAAGATGCAAACATAAAGGAAACAAGAATGACCTCATTGACCTTTAAGTCAAGAATGACTTAAAGGTCATTCTTGACATTTTTTTTTCTCCGAGTCTCGTTGTTTCTAAGCTGCTGTTCTCAGTAGGTTTGAAAAACAGTGTGAAATATCATGGTGGCTTTCTGGAAAGAACATGATGAATATTGTTGTTTCTGTTGACAGTGTGTTGCCAGTTATGCTTTTTTCCCCCCCAAAGAAAACATCTGGAATTTTGTCTGACCTTTCAACACTTATTTAAAGCTGATGCTTTTCTGTCACACATTTCCTCTAGAAATGGTGGGTTATGACAACGTTTATCACACCCTGTGTTTCTCCTCAGCTTTAAATCATCACCTCTACATGAAAAGCCTCCCAGCAGGGCAACAGAAGACCATCAACTCCTCTGCAATTAGACTGGCTTTCTGTTTGGGGATGGCTTTTCTTTGATAGGGTACAAACTGCATTGCAGAGCTCGATAAAAACAAGTGTAGCAGAGCTCTTTTGTCATATGAAAGAGCCTTTAGTTTGTGAAACATTTATATTATAGGGAAAATAAATTAATTAAATAATTTTGTGTGATCTGTGACAATGGGAGAAAACAAAAAATGGTATCTTGTGCTTGTACAAACTTTTCATTACAAAAAAATTATTTATTTATTTATTTATTTATTTATTTATTTATTTATTTATTTATTTATTTATTTATTTATTTATTTATTTATTTATTTATTTATTTAAGGCATTTCTAGATTCTGTTGTGAAAAGACATCCGGCAGCGCCCTCCAGTGGTCTGAACGAGAGTAGCGCCTTACTTGTGTTTTAAAACTTTAAAAGTGAAAGATCTTTTTTCACCAGCCCTGCAATCCAAGAAAGTGGGAACTTTTACCATTTACTCTTAATGAAGACCTTCATGTTTGAGTTTTTCTGTCAAAAAATGGTAGTAGAAGGGCACATGAGGCTAAAAGTGAAGCTGCTGCGAGTACTTCTCTCCTCTCGCGTCGACGTATTATAACCTCGACACAATCAGGAAGTCCGGGCGTTTTTCCTCCGTGATTCAGATCGAAAACTTTGTTAGAAAGGGAAAGGGTCGGCTTTTAGCAATTAGTTATGAGGTGTCATATCTTTTAAGGGTCGCCGATGATTTATTGATGTCGTTTATTACACTGTTTTAAACACGCAACTCACTATTTAGGTCGTCGTTGTTCACCCGGAACACCTGGATTTTGATTTAAGAGAGATGGATGTTTCTCACCTCACTGAAGAAGAAATGGCAGAGATAAAGAAAGACGTGAGTACGATAAATAGGTGATCAGCTGGCATCAGAATAAAAAAAAGTTTTTGAAAACGAGGTGACTGGCACAGTTTATGAGCTTTGTTTGGATTTAAAGGCCCATTAAATGAGGAAATACTTCACCACACCCTCTGTGTGTTCATGTAAACACCCAGTCCTGTCAAAAATATAATAAATGGAGATACACTGTACAACATTATCAGTTAAGTAGAGTATTAGAAATGTTGTTAGGATTGACAACTATAGGGCTTTTCAAATGTTTCCATACCTCTTAGACATTTCCATAAATGTTTACATTGCAGCCACATAGTTCTGTGAATTTTATTGGGATTTTATGGAATAGACCAACACAAAGTAATACATACTTGAAACTGATGGAAAATTATATATTATATATATAATATATATATATATATAAATTATATATTTGTCTTGCTTTGCTACTGGATTAAGGTCTGGACTTTGACTGCACTATTCTAGCACATGGATCTGTTTTGATGTACTTCACTCCATTAACCTGGCGGCATGCTTAAAGTCCAGGGATAGAAGGTCAACCTATGACCCAGACTCAATCTTCTCTGTCGTGGCTGAAGATCGGCAACCCCAGAGTACGATACCGCCACCTCATATTGCTCTGTGTCCCAAATCAGATATTCCTTTAGTAAAAATATTAATCAAAACTTTGCTCGTTGTTGGTAAAGCAATGAAAATGGCGTTGCGGAGAAGGTGGAAGAGAGGACATGAAAGTTAAAAATCACCGACCCAGTTACATGGAGGCCAAAGGGTTACATTTTTATTTCATCTGACCAGAGTAACTTCTTCCGTGTGTTTATCATGTCTACATTTATAGCTCATGGCAATTTAGAAATGACAAACAAAAATCTTTCAGCGATGGCTTTCCCCTTCCATAAAGTCCAGATTTATCAAGTTCATAACCAATAACTGTCCTGTCTGCAGCTCTTCTAGAGTTATTAGGGGCCTTTTGGCTGATTCTCTGATTGGCTGATTCTCTGATTAATGCCCTCTCTGCCTGGCCTGTTGGTTTCGGAGGCTGGCCATGTCTTAGCAACACTCTTTTCAAAGCTTGGGATATTGTTTTATAGAGTAACCCTGGTAAACCTCCACTTCTTTCTTCCTGACCTGTCTGCTGTGTTGCTTGATCTCCATTATGCTGTTTGTTCAGAAATGTTCTCTGAGATCTTTGGGGCCTTTACACAACAGCTGGATTTATACTGAGTAGACCACTAAGATCCCACGCAAAGTTATGAATCTTTCTGCTTAGTTGTTAGATATTATTATTACATGATTTCTCTTGCATTCCCAGGTGCTGACCAGACTGCGGCATTACCTCTGTGACAAGATCAGAGCAGACCGCCACCTGGACTACCTGCGTTCCCGGAGGATCCTGACCCGGGACGATGCGGAGGAGATAAGCTGCCGGACCACGCAGACCAAGAGGACGGCAACGCTGCTGGACATCCTGGCTGAGAACCCTCGGGGTCTGGACGCTCTGATTGACTCCATCCGGGAGATGCGCTCCCAAAACTTCATCATCACTAAAATCACAGACGAAGTGCAAAAAGCAAAAAACGAGAAGATCGAGTCTCTCAGAGGTGAGTTGTTTTTTGCATCGATCGAATGTGTGAAATGTTCTTTACCCATTCTTCTCTATTGTGTTCTCTGTCAATCAGCTGCGGGGGCCTCCAGTTCGTCCTCTGACAGCAGCTTCAGCACTCTGACCACAACGACTGACCTCCCCAACACCTTTTCAAACAACTCCACCCTCCTGTTCCACCCAGACGGGGAGCGAAGCCCTTCCACTTCAGACCTAGCCAGCTCTCTCAACGTGTCTTCGTTACAGAAGTGCGGAGACTTGCCCTCCGTGGCCGGGGCCAGCCTCGGTGTGGCTCCCTCCTCGACCTCTTCCAGCCTCCCCAAGCCGGGGGACCCTGGGGCTCCTCCGCTGCCAGACGAGGTCTTGGCAGAGTCGCCCTCCAACATAGACGCCACGTCGCCGGGGTGCACCAGCAGTGGGGGAGATCCTAATTTCCAGCCTCTCCGGTCGCGCTCGCTCACCCCAACATCACACATCCCTCAGTTCACTTCTCTGTAGGACACTTCTCATCCAGGGACAGACCGTTTAACTCAATAAGCACACCCATTGTCTCTTCCTGTTACTCGTGCCTTTCATTTGGCAGAACACGAAGTACGTGAAACTACATGTTACCACTAGGCATGGGCCGCTGTGAGGTTCTCATCATGCTACCTACTGAAACATTTTGAAATTTCTAACATGATCTAAGTACTTTGAAGTAGACAAATAATTTTACCATCATATTGCTGCTAAAATAATGTAACGTTGATGTTTTCTTCCTTGTGCTTTTGATTTTAATACATACTCTTGGATAGAAACGTAGAATAAACACCTGCTAAAATTAGATGTAGTTTTCAAGTGCTTATGTTACACCTTTTTGCAGTTTCCCCTTTTGTACGAGAGTGCAGTTTTTAAATCATTTTTACTGTAAAGAGTGATTTCCCGCCATGACCGGACATGTTTTATTGCCACTGAGACCATCTAAGAGCTGGCAAATCTGGCTTTTCTTGCACGCAGCCTTCCTTCTGCTAAAGGCAGTGAGCAGCAACAGGAGAGGGTGGGGAAACAAATCACTGCACTCGTAGCCTGAGAAAACCTCATGCACTCAAACACTTTGGTGCTAGATTGAAAGGATTTTGAATTAAAGGAGAAGTCTGATTACAAACTTTTGTCATGTCTTGATAGGATTTCTTTAGCTCTCACACCTCACAAGGTTCCTACACAATCTGAAAAAAAATATGCATTTTGATCTCAGTATTTTCCAGGTCTAAAAAAATTGTGGGAAAAGAAAAAGGGGTATGGAAGAAAATGTGTATTTTCAGATTAAATTATCTTGTCTGTTCTTTTGATCCTCCTTCCTTTCTCCCTTCTGTATCTCCTTCATTCCTTCCTTTCTTCCTTGTTTCCTGTTTTCCACCTTTCAAACCTTAACGCTTCTTTCTTTTCTTCCCTGTACTTCTTCTCTCCCTTATTTCCTTCCTTTTTTCCTTGTGTCATTCCTCCCTAACTCCATTATATCATTCTTCCTGTCCTTATTTCTTCCTTGAACTTTAGCGACGTTTGGCTTTACTCAGTCACCAAAAACTCAGGTTGCTTCTTCCGTTTCTCTGGCAGTGAATTAAAAGAATTGTATTTGCAGTGTAGGAATGGTATGATGGGAACTTTTAACAGTTTTACAAACTAACTTTTAAATTTCAACACACTTTTACAGCAGTACTTGGCCCATGCCTAGATATAACTACTGCAGTCTATGTTTTCATAATGAAAATGAAGGTATTTAGCCTTATAATGTTTGTGTATTTTGGATTCTGGCACCACAAAATGTTTGTTTTTGGTATACATATATTTAAATATTTTAACACAAAAAGATATGTAAAGATATTGTCCAAATGAATTGTAATACTGAAAAATAAATTATAAATTACAACCAGAGAAAATGTTCAAACTACAAACTTTTAGAATGCAATAGTTGCATTTAACATCATGTCATAAATTCCACCCTTTATGTAAAAGGCTCAGAAAATCTGAGTCACCAACAGAAGCCTTGTCTACGTTTTCTTCTCATGTTTGTGGTGTGATTTCTTCAGAAATTGTTGGGTGTGAAAACATGGCAGCTGCAGTTTAGTGGATGGAAGAGGTGTTTCCTGTTGTTTCTGTGCATTACTGCAAGTGAACAAGAAATTATGTCACAGTAGCTTCACTACAAGTCTACAGTCATAAAACATAATGTGAATAATTAATACCCTTCTTTCTTGCAGATCTTTGTATATGACTTGTATTTGCTGTATCCTAAATACTTAAAAGGATCAGACAGTTTTTTATTTTTTCCTTGAATATGTGGTTCATAAACCAGTTGTGTGGCAGACAGTGGCGGTTTTTGAATTTTGGTGCATTATAGGCTGAAGAAGTAGGGACGCTTCTTCATTTAATTAACTATCACTGGTAGAAATACATAGAAATAAGTCACAACTGCACAGGAACATGGCCACTCGTGGGACAAAAACTATGAAACAAAACAAAAAAAACTCACATAGCTTATCAGAAACATTAAGACTTAATATGTCTTGGTTTTACGCTTTACTTAGAGTAAAGTGGCCTTAATGACAAGTAAACAAAGACAAATGCTTTTTGTGTGTGTGTTTCTTTACAATAAAAGGTTTGACAAATATAACACGGTGTTCCAAATAATCTTTGTCAGTGTAGAATTGTTCAGTAAATATGTGTGATTTTGAAAATGGGGTACTGAGCTCCACAACGGACAAGAAGAAAAAAAAGAAAAAAAAAAACATTAAAAATGGAGCCTGACTTAAAACTTAAAAGTTTTGCAAGATCCCGACCTACTTTTGCGAGATCTTGCATAAGTAAGTCAGGATCCATTTACTTTTATTTTATTTTTTTTTCAATGTCCATTGCAGGACTCAGTAGTGATGAAATACAGTCCACACATCTTCTTAAAAATCATCAGAACTGCCATTAAAATTGAGCTAACTCTTAAGCTTTGAACCAGAAACATTAAGTATAGAAAAATGTTTTGTAACATTGCATATACTACAGAGAGTGCCCATCTTAATTGACTGGACAATCAAACAAGTATTGGGAAACTTCAGTGTTACCTTTATTTATGTTTTTGCCTCCTTGCTGTTCCACAGGTTTTGCTCCCCTGGTTAGAAAACCATTTAACCCAAATGAAAAACAGTGACTGGTGGCAGATTCATCCTATTGGTTACAGTGATGACTGACCGAAAATCATGACTGTCCGTTTTTCACGGCTAATAATATCCCTAAATGATGCGAAAAGAGGAAAAGAACACAAAAAGGAACGAAAGAAAAAAACGTGGAAAAAAACTAAAATAACACAAAAAACATGCTTTTTCTTTTTTTCTCAAAATGTGTTTATTATGTTTTGATAGTTTAGATTTGGAGTATGATGGTTGCTTTATTTAATTAAGAAATTTCCCCAACCTGTACTTGGTTAGTTTCTGGTTGTGCTGCGTCTGACGCCGGAAACTTTTTTTTTTTTTTCTGTTGTGGAAAAACTGGAACAACACAGAGGAATGACAGTCACTGCGGTGAAGACTGCTGTGATGCACTGTAACAAGCTGCTTTCTCAAAATCACACATAAGCCCCACTGGGTGGACGACTGGATCGCTGGTTCTCATCAGGTATTGCAGGTCAACTTTATGTTTTTATTCAAATTATTCTGTAGACATGTTAATGCATTTGTAATATTAAATAGATAACTAGCTATCACTGTTAGAAATACATTGAAATAAGTCACAACTGCAAGCTTTATTGGTTTTCATAGCCTTTAATTGTTTTTGCTTGTTGCAACATGTTTTAAGTGAAACGTACGTTTACCATTAACATTATAAATCAACTAATTTTTTAAAGAAACTTTTAAAATTTGTACTTTAGTTTTCTCCTTTGAGTTTCTCTCTGTGCTGCAATGATCCACCATGACACTGAATTACACATAAGACATCTGTCGCTATATGCTTGCAAATTATAGTATATGTTAAATGTTCTTACGAAGTAACATAAATCTTCAGCCAAGACAATAACATGTAGCAAAACCAGTTAGATAAACATCAGAATGACTAGAATCGCTGAACAGGGTTCCTTGAAATTTACAGTGTACTCTGTGCTTTGCGGTCTACTTCTCTGGTTTATCTGGTGCTCTCCAGTTCAATGGAGGAATCTGAGCAGCTGTTGACCCAGAGGTCAGAGGGGAAGAAACCCAACGGACACTGCAGATGGAGCACTCGCTCCCTGGATTCAAAGGCGGTGGAGGATTTCAGAAGGAGGCTGAAGTACTTTTTTATGAATCCATGCGAGAAGTACAGAGCCAAGGGTCGGAAACCATGGAAACTCATGTTGCAAATATGGAAAATTGTCATCATCACAGCACAGGTGGTATAACATATTTTCTAGTTTTGTTGTTTTATTCAACTGGCATAGATTTGTTGCTCATCTTACTGTCTCATTGTTACAGCTGGTCCTGTTTGGCCTGAGCAATGAAATGATGGCTACATTCAAAGAGGACAATCTAATGACATTTGAACATCTGTTCCTGAAAGGATTCAAGGACCACTGGCAGGGAAACTATGCTCTTTATACTAAAGCCGACCTGTATGATCACATCTACCACGTCATCGACACGGTACATGAATAGGAAAGAATGCTGGGGGTATTTTGAAACATTGCATTAACATTGGGTTCCACTCCTTTTTTCAGTACACCAATCTTCAGAACCTGACTCTAGAAAATCTTGCGTATGGGAAGATTGATGGCAAGTACACCCCGCTGTCCGTCTGTCAACTGCTTTACAAAAACAGCACCGTTGATCCGGAGAGAGACAGCTTCTACATTGATCCACACATTGATGAAGGTACAGAAATCAGACCTGCTGAAGGTTTGGTTTTTTTATGCAGAACATTTAGAACCTTGCAGATTTATTCTAACTAGTGCACTGTTTTTCACACAACAATCATAAGTACGGAGCATTTTGCAGTGATTTTATATGGCATGCCAATTGCTACATGAAGTAGCAAGTAATTTGAAAAGTAGCAGTAGCATGATTGACAGTTTCAAAAATTATTTCTAAGAAAAACTGGAAAGTGTTGCATGCATTCGTAATGTTATTTTTGCCCTAATCTTGGCAAGATAATTCAAGCTTAATTAGACTGAAAATGAAAAACAATTTTCAAGCTTTGTCTTTGATTGGGACAATCTAGCACATAAATATGTACTGGTTTTTAGTAGTCTGGTGTTTTCCAATGCTTCTCTTTGCTGTGCCCCTAACATGACATATAACAAGCATCAAAAGGCTTTCTTTTAATAATCGGCTTTCTGTTTGCCAATCTCCCTTAAAAAGGTCAGGCATGTGGAGTGTTTTTATAAAATCTGACTCAAAGTCAAGACTGGAAAATAATCATAATGTGGAGTTTCATGTGACACAAAAAGAGGAAATAACATAGTTAGTTAAATTAGTGTTGCATTCTTATCCTCATTCCACTGCTGTGCTAGCTACTCAATCAATCAGATTTTATTTGTATAGCACATTTCAGCAGCAAGGCATTTCAAGGTGCTTTACATAACTGAAAAACACAATAAAAACAGCATGTGACATTGAAAAAGCTGCTAGGACTTCGCCGTCCTACACAGATTTTTGTGCACTATTTTTTACCTGTTAGAGTCTAGAATTTACAGGGTTTTTCTGTGCGCGCAATGACCCTCAATCACTCACCACTTTTACATAAATAGATAAAAAGTAAAGATAAAAACATTAAAAACATCGAAGGCATCAAAACCCCCGCGGTACTCTAACCCTAATTTCGCCATCAGCAACTCTAAACAGGTGGGTTTTAAGCTAATGATATTTTTAAACACATTCTTCCTCCCCTTTAGAGTGTATTTCCGTATTCCCGCCGACATCTCTTGACAATACTAATCTGGAAAGAAACATCAACTTCTCTGTAGATCTCAAAAGGTAGGAAACGCAAAGCTGATGTTAAACCAGCTGACAGCAGTGATGTCTGCTGATTGCATGTCTGTGTGTTCAGGCTCGTGTCAGTTAACATCAACTTCACTCTGAAAACCATCAATCTGCAGACCGTCCGGCACCATGAGCTACCAGATTGCTACGGCTTCCACATAAAGGTTGGTGAGAACATCTGATGACTGAAATACCGTCATATAGGAAATGTTAAGAGTCTAGAATGATCTACAGACGAAGCATTTACCTTAATTTTTTTTTTAAATCTTCTTTAACCCTTTATCAC